GATGACATTGTCTGGAGAGCCAGGAAAAGGGCAGAACCAGACCCCACCACCCCCTCTCCAGGGCCCTGAGCATGCTTCAGCCATTAGTCACTTAGGCTGCCTCTCCTGAAATCGTTCTTCCCAGTCACTTCTTTCCCACTGGATGGCACCACACAACTGGGAAAAGGGAAGCGAGCTCAGGTGCCAAGTGGCCAAACAACCAGGAGCTCCCAAGCTTCAGCACTTACCTCTGAATGACTGAGGTGAGCACCTACAGTACCTGGGCTCATTACCGCAAGCAGAGAAGAAAAAGCATGGGAGGAAAGGAGGCACAGACTGAATTAGCAATATATTCCTCTCTTGTTTTACAGTCCATCAAAGGCTGTCTTTCTAATACACATTTCATAGCCCTCTTCAAGACTTCCTTAAAAATAATAAATTCCCCTTGTAATGAAATATTCAAGTTGTTTCTCATTGTGTTTCTCAGACTTGTGTATTTCTCCACAGAAGTACACGTATTACATACATTTATATACACATACTTTTCTGGAACAAGCCAGTTAGCCTCCCTAGTCAGTTTGTCAGAAAGTACAGCTCTGAGCATGGATTTTGTACAAAAAGCATCACTTCCCTAAGCAAGGAACTCTGCATTGTTCTTGTGATAAATTCTTAGTTCTACCTTATATTCTTCCCCTTTTCAGGCTCACCTTTTCCTCCTGCTACCACTACAAATGTATTTTAACATCCTACAGCCTGAAAACCTTCCAAATTTGTCATGATTTCCCCTTTCTCTGAATTTCCAACCATTGTTGATAATATCTAGAATTTTACTTGGTGCTTTCCAATCTTTGCTATCATGCAACCAATTTGTGAAGTTATGAATTCCAAGTTAGAGCAAGCAGGTGAGACACACAAAGTAGGCAGCCTTACTTGTGTTCATGAGAGAAAGGTGTACACAGCAAAGCAATAACCACCACGTTGGATGATGACACAAGCGAGTGCAGTAACAGCAATGGTTTTGTGAGTACACACTAGGAAATGGCAGAGCACAAATGAAGTACTTTGAAATGGTGCTTACAGAAGAACAAACTTTATTTAGAGCAAGATAAAACTATTAATTAGCTTCTTACTATAAAGCAGGTTTCAAAGCAAATGAGCTTAGTAGAACAAGACTGAAGATGTTAAGATCACAAGTTAATGCTACCACACCGGACATTAAGTAAACAGAAGACTAGGAAACCAAAACCACATGGAAGTCAGTCAATGCCAAACACAAAATAGCTAAAAATGGAAAGAACAGAATATTGTCAAATTCAGAAGCTGGAAACAAATTATATGAAGTGAAAAAAATACACACTGGTGAAATACTACCAGTGAACAGATTAGGAGAAAGATGATATAAAAAGAACCGTATGAGCTACAGCTCTATTTGAAAAATTAGTATTTGCAAGCCGGAATATTTCGGTATCAATGAAAACCAGAACAACTGTTGGTGTTACGGTATATGGATCGCAATGCTGGAATATGAAAAAATCTGATTAAAAAAATAGCAGAGATGAGCTAGCTGAGAAGAACATTAAGGGATTCAGAAATGCAATAAAAACATAGCAACAATACACAATATTCTGTTTCACTGTTGCTGAACAACAGCAGTGAAAGACTAGCAAAAGCACTGAATTCAAGCTCATTCTCAGACTGCTCACAGCTTCTACTTGTACTTTTGCTTTTCTTTCTGCTGTCTTGACCATCTTTTCTAGAAGATGGTCATACCCCTTCCAACTTTCTTCAGGGACTCCAAGGGATTTCTCTTTTCCCTTGCCCTTCTCTTCTTTATACCTCAGTCTACAACAACAAAATCAATCAACTTTTCCACAAACTTCAGGTTGACAACTCTGATTTTTTTTTCCCCCTCACACATTACTGTGTTTTTCTGATCTCAATGGATCTGACACCTCCACATGGGCATTTAGCCATCAGCTTAAGCTCAGCGTCGACCAAACAACTCACCATCCTAACCCCTTTTCTCCATTTCTAGAAAATCTCATTTTCTGCCATCGTATCCCAAACTGCAGTGTTCATTTTCGTTAGCCTGAAAATATTACCTGCATAGCATTTGCAAGATTCATCATCTTCCCTCTGTGCACAGAGCTGATGCTACTGTCCAGTTCATCCTTACCACTGTGTTCTGACTATTGCTCCATCTCCAGCCTTGGCATGTTCCATCTCAATTCACCAATTTCCTTCTAAAATATAACACTGAAAGATCACTTTAGCAGGATGTTCCAAAGACATGGTCATTTTTCTGTTTATCCACTTATCTTTCCTCCCACTCCCTAGACAAACTGCTTGTCTTCACCCTTCAAAGCCTTTTTTGGTTTATTTTGGTCTTCAGGTTAAATTAAAATACTGACCTTCATTTCATGTATCACGCTGAGATATTTCACAAAATTCCTTTGTAATCTCACTCAAAATGCCTGTTATGCATAGAAAAGCACAGTTTTTATTCAAAATTCCTCTTAAAGTTTCTCTTGAGAACAACGTTTGACAAGTAGTTTGCTACGATGACTATTTTACAATTCTGACCAGTAACGTGCCATTATTTGTTTGCTGCCTTGTTCATGTGATGCCTACATTTTCAGAATGGCCTCAAAGGAGACTTCATCTACCCAAATACTACTGTAATACAAGTAATATGGAATGGAAAAATATTAAATCTGATACACATAGTAATCATTCTAAATCAGTGACCACAACAAAGTTGAATTACATATATTTACACACATGCATACATACAATGATCAAGTCATACCAAAATGAAATCATTACGTACAGCAACATTTGTATTTTTCCTTTAGACACTCCATTACTACATACAATGAAATTCACATAAAATGAGAGAAAGGCATTTGGTCGGTGTGCTTTAATCACTACTCTAGCTGTATCTTCAGCAGCACTATTGCAGCATTTTCCAGTACATGACACCTCGTAACAAAGCATTCCTCAAGCATAGCTGGAACACTACTTAGTGTCTATGTGCACGGCAAGTGTCTCCAGGACAGTAACAGCAAAGCTAGAGATAGAGAAACAATGGATTGGAGGATGCCACCAAGTATGTACTTCACAAGAATACAGAATCAAAACTCATTCTTCTCTCTCAAAAAATACACACATTTAATGTTGGTCTTTTAATTCTAAGAAAAAAAAGCAATTCCAAAAATACAAACTGAACATCAGAGTCAAGTCAACCACCATAATAAAATGAAACAACATTCACAATAGTTAAGTCTATGGACAGCTTAAGTTTGACAAATATTTTCTCCCCCCCCGACTAAAGTCCCCAAGTACATTCCAATATTTATCTTTAAATGAAACTTTACGAAAAATACTGCTGGTGTTCAGTTAGAATTAAAGGACTTTGATAAAGTGAAACAGTAAAGACAGATACAGATGGTGTGAGTAAGGTTACAAAGGCTTTACATTTTGCATTATCCCAAGATATAAACATTCAAAAATTAACATGAAGTTGCTGTGTTATCAAAATATTGCAGCTATAGGCAAGGCAACATTAAATTAATAGCTGAGGGTGTGAGAAAAAAACCACACATTTTAGTGAAGGTAAACAGAAGTGGCAGTTTTTAATTAGCATTTTTATAAAGCTAATATTGCCCGGTCAGCCATAAACCAAGCACAGGATAAAAAGCTTTCTCTGCTTCCTTTGGCTATAAGGTGACAGGAAAAAATAAAAAAATTTAAAAAATCACCTTTTCAAGATGTTGAAGATGAGCAGAAAAAGTCAAATAATCAAGTAATGGAATAAATAAGTACTAACCCAGGCAGTACACTTTAAACCACTCTGTCATTTGTAAGTGTTACATAATTTTATTTTGGTGGTAAACTGTAAGCATGTAAGAAAACTAACTTTATGCAGTACAGTGGGTAACCACCAAAGTAAAAATATTCTTCTGTTTACTCTTTGGCTAAAACCCCCTCAAAAGTAGCAGACAAAGTAAAAATATCTAATACTGGCAAGAGACTCTTTTTTTTAATTTTTTTTTTTTTTAAACAAGCAAAATAAACTTATCAATTTAAAACTTGGTACATTTTATAAAAACAAAAGAGGTAACGTTGTAATAAAATCAGTAATGTTACTTCAAATGGCCACAAACTGCTTGTTGACCCTGTGCAATAATACACTTTGTTCATACTACATTTATCAAAATATGACTGTTTCTACAGATATGTAGGAATCTGGTGTGTGACTCCTGTCAACTTAGTTCATAACTGGGACACAAAATTTACAATCAGTGTGCCACAATAACTTTCAAATCGTTATTTCTAGTAGAGTTAATTTCAAAATGTTCAGATCCTGCATTGTTTTTTAATTCACATGGAAAACAATGGAATATATTACCTAGAGCATATGAACATCAATGACTGCACCCATTGCCAGAACACGCTGCACTGGTTTGACACTTTTCCTTAGTACACAGAAAGCAACAGCACCCAATAAGCCTGAGAAGAAATGCTGCTGTGTAAATACTGGCAACTATTCCTGAAAAAAGAATTATGGGATGTATTCTCAGAAGCTGCCCGATCCCATAATTTGTATTGCATAGGTCACAATCACACATATATATACACGCACAAGTATGTGTGTGCGTATATATGTCTGTATATACGCACACACACGCGCACACGCACACACACAAAGAATATATTAAGACGACAATGAAGTCTGGTCACAGAGCAATTTACAGGCTCAATATATTTTTTTTCTTTTTTTTTTTTTACACTTCGTTTGAAAGAAAACTTCAGTATTTTACAGTCTTCAGTAGGCATTATATACACTGCACTTATGAAATCTAGAAAGTATTGAAATAGAAATACATTTCTGCAAACATTTGGGTAAGAAAACAAACCAAAATTTTTCAAATATTTGTGCTATCTACATAATATTTTCTCTAAATCACAATAACTGTATCCATGGAATGTTCTCTAGAAAATGTCTGTCTTTTTTTTTAAAACACCATGCACATTTTTAAGCAATTGTAACCCAAAATATCCCAACCTAAAACAATCTAACAATGTTCAGATTAAAAAATTTAAGTTTCAGATCAGATTTTAAAAAGATAAGTCTTTATCACAAGAGCTGTAATGATAACAGTTACATGTTAAGGCTAAACTGGTTTTGTTTTGTTTTTAGAAACACATTTAAAGACACGTTTCTCTCGTGGCTCTGCATTATGAACTGTACTTACAGATGACAGTGCAGTGAACATAATGTTCAGTCCTACAGTCAGGATGCAGTTGCTCCTTCCCACTCCACAAGATACTGCACCTTTCCATCAAGTGTCACCCGACGAGCCAAAACGCGGTATTTTTCCCCACAAGCTATTCTACCTGCTGCACCAAAATAACTAGTAATTGAGTTCTTTAGATGATTGAGCTGTAATTCCTGATCTGCTAAGTTGTTAAGTATCTCTGTATTGAGTTCGTCATATTGGTAGTCTTCCTTGCTCTCATCATCTTTTACAATTTCTGAATTTTGAGTCTGGAGTGCTTTTCGTGGAAAGCGACCTCTTCTTCTCAAATGTGGTATTGCAGCAGGCCAAGTTCTTCCTGTACGAGTCCTTTTTCTCGAGTCAGATAAACTATTGAAAAAAGAAAAAGCAGCATTAACTCCAAGAAACTTCTTCAAAATGTGTGCTTTATCATCAGTTGTTTCCATGCAACTCATGCAAATTTTGTTCTGTTTTTCACTGATAAAAATACTTGTTGCCTACAGACGATAGATGACTATAAACATTGCAAAATAATGATTATTTACAAAAATAATTGTACTAGTTTAAAAAAGTGTCAGAAAGGTTAGCTAAATGATATTAACTTATGCCTACATTATGTTAATTTTGATAGAGTTTAATCACATTCTTAAGCAAATTAAACTGTCTACAGAGAAGTCTGCACCAAACACGCTGAAATTTTCAACCTAGAAATACAGCTTTATCACACAGGTAGGCCTCTACTACAAAAGCTATTCTATAAAAAGAGTTTGAGACCTTTATGTTAGCTAAGACTAAGTAAAAAGTTCATTTATGCATAGTTATTTTTTTCAAGCTGAATTTATCTCAACAAATTAAAATTGTGAAATATGAAGAAAAAAAAATCTATCCTACTTCACTACTGTGTATAGTACATGTGACTTCCTAAAGATTTATTATGTGTGGCCAGAAAAATACGTATATCCAAAACTCACACAGTTTTATATCTAGTAATGAAAAAGAAGCTTCTGACGTTATCCAGGAATAAACTATCATCCAAATATTAAATGTGGCCACGACATAAAACCTTATGTAAAAACTGACATGTATCATTTGCACATACTAAAACATGTTTGATAAAGTCCTAAATAAAGTTATATGCAAACGTTGATGCTCAAGACTCCAATGTAACATACTGAGGAAAAAGGTGCATCTTTTTAACATTTAAAAATAAAAAGAATGGAATAAAGGACAGAAATACAAAACAGTGACTTAAGTCCTTAGGTAACAATTTCAGAAGTCTGCAAGTTAAACATGAGTTTTTGAAGACAATTTGCAGCAGCAATGCACAAGGACTCATGAAAGCACTTGGTAGCACAAACCAGAAAGAGACAGTGTAAGTAGGCTGAGGATCCATGTACCTCAACGAAAGAGAAGTGCATGTTCCCTGGACTTGAGAGGAAGCAGTTCAAGCAACAATTTATTTGCAGAGAAGTCAGTTGTAGTTAATAATTTATTTATTAGACTGTGCCAAAAAAATTCCATGCTCTATTGACTGTACAAAAACACAGCATATTTGCTATTCTTTAACATGAATACAAAACCAAAAGCTGCTAAGATTAATTCAGGGTACACATCAGCTCTTTTGTGGCCTTTATGAGAAAACTAAGCTCAGGAAGTGTTTGTGGAGTTAATAATTCTTTTCAGTAAATGTAATTTACTGAATTTACATCAAAGAACACTAGTCAGTGAGCACAAGAAAAAAAATCACCTTGTGTTGTAAGCAGAACTAAAAGACTAGTCCTTTTGTCTATTTCTTTAGATTCCCCATGCAATTTATAGCTCTACTCTTGAGTCTCAGTTGCTCATTACCCCAAATTCCAGTGATTCACCACATCCTCAATGTTATACCTCTTTGCAATATCCTCAGTTCTTCTCTATTTATTCTCCCACCAGTATTGCAATACCCTTACCTCCATTTTACATCTCCTACAGCTGCCTCATAACTTAGGTCAACCTCCTACCTTATTTTCTACCTTTGTTTTGCCAAAGCTTCAACTACAAAACACAAACCCAAACACACACAAAACAAACAAACAAAACCCAACAAAACAGCACCGGCAATGACTACACCACAGATAATTAGAAAATTGTCTGCCTTTCTGTAAGTGTGGTTACTGGTTTGGGTCTCTCATCCAAGTGTCCATCTTCACGAACCTAGTTAGATTGTAATGTCTTTGGAACTACCTGGATCAGATTCCACTGAAGTTAGCCTAAGGATTCAGAACTGACTCGAAGTACCACAGTACCTCAGGTTGTAAGAAACCAGACTTAGAACACCACATGTCATGCTTTGGCAAGATCTCTTGTTGGACCCCTGGCACTTCTGTTTATTAAGGGTGAAGTACTGCTGAACTAATTGTTTCCTGTCCCCTCCATCAGATTTTGCTAAAATGAATATATGGCAATTCTTAATCTTTATAGCAGACAGAGTAATTGAATAATTACCTATAATGTCTGGAAATGCTAGATGAGGTAGTTTCTTTCATACTGGCAGCACCTGTGGATTCCACATCTGAGGTATTGGATGAATGTGCAGTTCCATCAGATTTCCTGATATACAAGTAACAGGGTTGCCATGTAATGAAAATAATCTTACATTAAAAACTGAGCTAACATTTCAGAAGCAAACAGATAAATGACATGCTGTTATAAGGTTCTACAGGGATTTTCTTAATTTTTTTTTTTTTTTTTTTAATTTACCCAACAGTGCAGGGTAATTCCAAGGCTGGGTTCTCTATCACTGGAACTGGTTCATTATCCTAAGGAAATAAAAAACAAAAAACCTTCAAATTAAGTTTTAATTGCTGTTATCAATTTTGTTTGAGGGTAAGTGTGGGAATATCATGATTCAGATTAACTAGTTATGTTTTTCTTCAAAAATGATAATCCAGTTAGAGGGGAAAGGAAAGGGGGTGGGGGGTGGAATAAAATACCTAAAATCTTACCAGAGGAGACGACTCTGGAGTTTTGTGAATCATTTTTCTTGTATAGGGACCAGGTGGACGACCTACAGATTTTTTTTTCCCCTTTCTTTCTATACCATTACTTAATTCCCTAGAAGAAAAAGTATATTTTGTTCTGTTTTATTTTCATTGAATACACAAGTAGACGCCTGTTGCTAAAACATTGTGCTGAATGAGGTTATTCTGGTAAATCAAAATTGTTGGGTACAAAGCTACATATTTTTGCCTCTAGAATAATATAAACAGATACAAGATCTTTCTAGTGACATTACTGATCCCATAATATTGAGAAGGAACAAGTAAGTGTTAAATGTTGTTTATTCACATGATCACACTTGGTAAAAAAGATGGCACATTTACTAATACAAGTTACAACTTCACATCACATTTCCCATTTAGAATTCTAGGTAGATCATTGCATAAGATCTCCAGAAAGGCAAGAGATTGTTTCCCAAATGGCAAAGTTGGGACATTTTCTATTGTTCTTACTGGTAAATTTCACTTTGGGTTTTTAGTTTGGTGGAGTTCTGGGGGTTG